TTTTTCAGATTTTGCACATTCTTGAATAGGAAATATTGCTTGACTGTGGCAAATTTAAAGTTACGGTTTCCATTCCATATTTTTTTTAATGGATGTTTTGTTTAAATGTCTTCTAGGGAATTCTTAACCTATGATTTTGTCTACAAAGTGGGTAATAAATAGAAGATGGAAATAGGATAAAAATAACATTATATTTCCTGGAAAGAGATATAAATGTAGCTGGTTTTTTACACGTTAAATGGTACTTGATATTTTGTCTTCATTTTTGTTTATCAAATGTCTCTCACTGTTGAAGTCAGTAAGGATTCTTGTATTTCAGTTCCCCTAAACCTACCACCAAACAAGACCTCCAAACCTTGTAGTGTTCCTTTGCATTAAATATCTCTGCTTATTGTCCAGAATTGATGCTAGATTCAACATCACTGCTTCATGATGGACAGATGGGATTATTTCAAGTTTAATACCAGAAAGTGTTTTGTGCAAGTGCTTTCTCAGTAAGAACAAATGCTCAGGTATCTCAAAAAATGAACAGTATGCTGACAGCACTGCATTCCTTGCCAGGTTGCAGTGGCTGCAGGTCATAATTAATAGTGCTGGTGAGTTCAAAATTATATTTACATACAAGACCTCCAATAAGTTCAAAATTGTAACTACATAAGTTTGTGGATAAGTATATGAATCAAGTTCAATATAGTAGATAACAGTATAGGTAAAATCACTACGTTGAAATGCTTATGGGTTCGGGTTCTGTGTACATTGGATTGTTTTTGTGCCACCGCAGTAGTTAGAGCTTTTTTATTTGTGCTGTTCTGTCACTGGCAAACATGTTAGCTGAATGAAATGCTTACACTAACATTTTATTTCTATAAAAAAATACATGCTAAAAACATTAAGGGCTTTGTAGTATTTCATGAAGGCAAATTATTTGGAATTGGAATTTTGAAGAAAATGTTGGAGATTTAGCAACCCAGTCACCACTGAGTATTGATGAAGTCGGACAGAGTGTTTTCTCTGAGATACCTGTAAGATATTACTCTTTGTGATACCCTTTTAAAATCTGCAGGAAAGGTTTTTGTTTAGAATATGTGTCCTTTTGGTAGTGCCCCCAAACTAGTCTCATTAGCTTATGTCACTGCTTTTAAATTTAATGAGATTAAGTTCAAAAATCACTTATGTTTTCCCTACTTGTTCCCAAAACATGTTTCATTCTTTCTATTTTCCAGGAAAAAGAAAGTTAAAATTAAAATTATCTTGGCTTCTTCCACCTTAGGCTCTTGATTCAAAGGAAAGTGCTTGCAGACAGTCTTCTCAGGTATGAACATGTAACAATACCTGAAATCTGGAAAATATCCCATCAAGTGATGAAATGAACCAGAGCCAGGAACAAATTGAGGAATTAGTTATGGTACGTAAAATCATGTCATTGATCACTGTATGTATCACTTATGTTAACAGTGTCAAGACAGCCTGAAGGTTAGATTACAATCTCTAAAAAGTCTAAAATTTTGCTACAGCAGACAGCTGTTTTTGACCCTAAAATATCTGAGATTTGTATCCTCTTCTTCCTACATCAGCGTTCTTCCAAAATTTTGTTTATCCAGTGACACAAATTTCTGTAGAGAAATCACTTTTTTGCCAGTCATTTCAATTGTTAAATCACGCATCTGATCAAATAACAATAATTGGGATAGCCTCAGAGTAAAAAAACAAACATAGCTAATCACCATGACACTGAATTATTTTTTTAATTCAAGGAATACTGCGCACAGAATTCTATTGTGTTATGTGAGTTGATATTCCTTTTTTTTTTTTTTTTTTTTTGATGTAAGGAAAGCATTTCTTATTTGATGATGGCATCCCAAGAAAGCTCAATGATTTATTTATAATATGAGTACATGCAACCTAAATAGACAGGGATCCTTCCGTTTATCTTGGGATTCCAGTCCACTGTTCTCTTTTAACCTTCTCTGTTAACTATCAGTCTGAGCTGCATGAAAGTGTAGTGAGGCCTACAGTGGCACTTGGAATTACAAATAACTCTATTTCTGCCTTGATTAGTCCATACTGGAAGTCAGGATTTTAGATAAACCTTTGTATGTATTTTCTTTTCATCCAAGTCAGGATGAACAGAGATAATGAAGGCTATAGAGATCAAAACATAGAAAGGCACAGGAGTAAATCCAGCCCTGGCTGGTATTCAGCACCTAATGCAACAAGAAGTCGATGCCAGTGTAAAACAGATCAGAATAGCGGATATAAGCAGCTTGGCACTGGCTTGTCCATTGGATAATCAAAGAGGAAAAGGAGAGGTGACAGGGGAGTGTAAGAAAGCTCATGCTGCAAATAAGAAATGCAGGTAAGCAGGCTGTGGAACTGGGTCCCATAAACTTACATCTATAAAATGTAGTAAAGGAAGTCTCCCAACCTCCTTTATCTGAGCGGTATTGCTATCTGTTCTCCAAAAATCTTTCTTTATGCTCATCTCACTCTCTGGTGTTTTTGACCTTTGCTTGTCTGATCATGTCTAAATTTAGATGAGGAATTTTTGAGAAGCAGAGATTGGTGTTAGCTTGTTCCCTAGAGGCGTCTAGAGTACTTCCAGGTGCTGTGATCTAGTGAAAGCCAAAAGGGAAACAGTCTTTGTTTAATAAAGCTCCCTGAAACTAGAGGCTAATTCAAGTAGTACACCTATTTTGGAGGGTAATTAAACAGTGTTGGCAATTGAGATTAGTCTGCCATAATGGATAAGGGGCCACTTAAAAAACTGGGATCTGAGCCTGGATTTCAGACACTCTCAGCATTTGACATGAGATTATCACTTTTTGGAACTAGATGAGCAACACTGAAGAACGAGGTTAACATGAAGCCAACATCAAGTATGCTGAACTCAGGTCATTGAAAATACCATTGCTAATACTACTATAAGTGTATTTCCAGTAGAACATCACAGCTTTGTTTATCAAAAGCAGACAAATTATTATCAGCTGCTGGAGATGGGTGCAAAGGATGCACTGTCAAGTCTCTGCTTCGGTTTCCAAATTTGGGCATTATTTCTGTGATGTAACTTACTTTTCTGTTATATGTATGTTCTCAATTGTTAAATAGTTAATAATGCAAGAATTTATACTTACAGTAGGATAGTATGGATGACTTTGGTTTAATGGTTAATTAATTTCTTTATTTGCTGCATAACCCAAAATAATCTGGCTGCAAATTTTCTTACACTTCCCTTTTGCTTAGGGATCATGAACTGTACTGTCAGTGGCAGAATAGAAGGAGAAATAGAGCAGTTTGTTGACAAAAATTGCTAGTACATTGCTGTGTAGGGTAATTACTGCCAGTATTATTTTAAATTATTTTATTACTAATTGTTATTTTTTGTAACAATGAGTGAATCCATAGTCATCTATTTGAAACTGTGTGGCACACCTAAAATTAAATGTTTGATGTGTATACTTGTTTTTCAAGCTTGAAATCATGCAGTTATCATGCTGGTTCTGTTTTACCCACAAAGCAAAGAAGCAAAAGCTAGAAGTGATATGCCAGCAAAAGTAGGCCCATATGTCACTCAACAGTGCTAGAGGTACTATAATTAAACAGCCTTAGTAGATAGTATAGGCACTTAATTCTCTTTAGTTTGCAATAAATTGTCCAAGCATACTGCAACTTTTGTTGCATTAAAGCTGTTCGATTTAAAGATTCAAGCAGTGTTAATGCACTAGACATTGTAAGAAGAAGTAATCAATAGCCCTTGAAAAAGATGACAGTTAAAACACCATGCAGCTTTTCATGCAAAATTAGAAGTCTGGTTTGCAAAGCTTGAAGGAAAAGGGAGATAAGAAAGAAACTTGTAGTCTCTTTTAAAGAAATGGACAGTAGTTGCAAAAGGAGATGTCTTTACTAAACAAACTCTCATATTTACTGACATCTGAATTAATCACTGCTGGGTTAAAAAAGATAAATGTTAGTTATAAATCTTTTCTTAGGAGTTCTGAATTTCTAAATGAAATGCAAATTTCATGTTTCTGTGGCAGGAAATGTACAAATAAACACGTGCATAATAAAAAATGCTAAAAGTAGATGCTAAATCTCTTAGTCCTTGCATTGACACCAAGTTAGCATTTAGGGAGGAGAGAAGGGACAGAAGAGTGAGGTAGTCTAGAGCTGGTAAGACAGCAATCAGGAAAAAGGAAAAAAATGGAAGAGGGCTCTTTACATAAAATATTTGGGAAATGCTCACGTTTTGCTTGGTATTGCTCAACCTAGCAAAGAACTTAGAAGAATTTAAGGCTAAAAGTCTCAATCCCAGCACAAAGATAGCAGATTATTTTTATCTAGGTTTGAGTTATGTGTTTGAGTTATGCTGCGGGAGCATGGAAGCCCTTCCTTCTAAGGAAAAAGACAGGGCAACCTAGAGATGGAAAACTTGTTTGTTTTAGGTTAATTTTACTATTTAAGTAGATGTTATTTGAATTAATGCTTTGTTTTTCTGAAAAAGAAAAGAAAGATCGTAATGAGGACAGCAGATACTAAAGCCCTTGCCAGAAACAGATTCTGAATGGATAAAATTGCACCAGAGGAGTTGCCCTGGGGTGCTGGCCCAGGACAACTGTAAATGTGCAACGCAATACAAATGAGTAAGTGTAAATGGTTAACCAGCATGAAAGTGTCTGCAGCTGTAAATGTTCTCATCTGAGGATAGAGACTGATTGCTAGCTGTGCCTGGTAGAAGTACAGGGAAACTGTTCACCTCCACAAAGATGGGTAGAAGCTTTAAGCTGAGCAAACATGGCAAAAAAGAAAGGTTAAAAAGAAACGCGCCTAATAAAATCTGTAATACATTCCTTATGCCAAGTGGGGTTTTTTCCTACTTGTTTTGGATCTCATCACAGAAAAAAAGTGGGCCTCAGCCCAGTTATCGCTCATGGACAGCCCAGCTGGGGCAGCAGGCACTTTATGAGTGCCACCTGTGCCAGTAGCTGGGGTGGGGCTGATTTAAACAAAGACGGGGCTGTAGGTTGGCCATGTGAGTAGCACCTGTGTCAGTAACTGGGACTGCTTCAGATAGAGAAGGGCCTGGAGCAGCAGCCATGTCTGTGGCTTTGTGTTTGTTCCTGACTTAGTACCTGTAAGGTGATAGAGTCTGGAAAGAGCAGGCTTTAGTGTGTGTAACAGAGTAAAGGCTTATTGGATGAGGCTGCCTTCACATGCAGTAGAGCTCTTCTGAACCCTGAGTAAGAAGAAAACAGAAGTTGCCGTGTTACCAGCGTGCGGCTTCCAGCAATTTATGTGTGATTTTAGCTGCCATTCTTAGAGGTAAGCATGGGCCCTAAAGGGTTGGAAGAGCAGTGCTGTTATGATGTAGTTCCTAGAATTATTGTTCTCTGTTAACTACTAGAACATGAAGACTTCCTTGCACTGTAATAGCTCAGTATGCAGCTGTTAGCATGCAGTGGTCTTTGCACGTGTTACTTTATGAATGTGGTATTGGTGTGCTTTTGAGGGTAATGTTCTGTCCTGAATGATTAGCCTGCAAGCTGTTTTGGGAAGATATTCTAAGCTCTTGTATGCATCAAAGGACCTACTAACTTAAATGAAGGAGTTCCTTGGTGATTTATTTATTTATTTGTGTGCTACTTGTCGTGTCACCTCCTGCTTAAAAGTAATTTGTGGCTTGAGACTCAACTGCTATGATCTGGGGAGCTAACTCTTCCCTGAGAAAGGAGGTTTATTGTGCTGTTCAAGTTGTTGCTCTAAAACCAGCCGCATAACTTAGTGGTTAGTGATTAAGGTTCACTGCACCACTATCAGAACAATTTACATAAAGCTGTTAAGTTTACAGATTCTGCATTCTGCATAGGCTGTATCTCTTATCAACTGTAAGGCAAATTCACAGTAGTTTTCTCTCTAACTTGTAACAAATGGAGTTTTGCAAAATCCTAGCAAAATCTATTATATGCTGTAGAAATGGAATTGAGCCAAGAAGTGCCTGCAGCTGTTTACTAGGTCATTACACATTTTGGATCCACATGTACCTCTGCATGAAATACGTTTGTTAGGATAAGCAAATAAAAAACGCACATATAAGAAAATAAGTACAACTAGCCCACCTTCAGCATCTAATTTCTACATGGATACGATAGAATTTTTCTGCAGGCAGTCCCAATTCCCTAAAGGATTTAGTATGAATCAGGAATACCTCTGAGTGTAGTCATGTCAATAGAGTTATTCTACTGAAAAATAAAATGCCTAAACTGTGCAGAAGCTGAAGGTATTGAAGCTATGTCAAATAAAATAAACTTTGGACATTGTGTTCTTGTGATGGAGAATATTTGGGTGTTGTAATTTGCTTTAAAAACAAGTGCAAGTAGTTGTTGCATGAGGTACTGAAGTCAGATTGTTCACAGATGCAGACGTTTTACCTGCCAACCAAGGATTCCTGATTAATCTTGCATTACAGTGTGCTAACAATTACTGTTAGGTTTTCAGCTTTTTTCATGTTGTTGACCATGTCTTATGTTTGTGCTTCTGCCATCTTGGAAAAGGGTTTTTCAAAGTTACCGCTATCAACAAAGAACCTCCTGTGCTCAGAAGAAGGGATAAGGTATTCTTCTCTATGCTGATCTTGAGAGTAGCATGCCTCTATGCTGTGCATTTAATGCATTATTTATGTCACTGACGTGTGTGATGTGCCAGTTGAGACAATCTCTTAGCATGTAGTTGCCCATCCAATGGTATGTGGCCAATTAAAGAAATTCCATGTTGCAGCTGAGTCCTGTAGGAGGTGCGTGTAGTGTCTTCAGGTAAACCTACTGTGTTAAACGAGACAAGTCTTTCTTTCATTACAGCAGTACTTTTGGATGTAGCTGAATCACAGAAGACAACATTTACCTTTCTCTTAGGCAATATTGTAGCCAACTAGAACATTTCTCAGAGATTACATGAATATAAAAAGCATATACTTGATATTATAGTGCTTAGTTTTGCTTATGCTTGACTTCCTGGATAGAATTGTCAACAGTAAAAATGTACAGAGTACTCCATTTTCTTAGCATACTGTTTGATAGGTCTGTTACTTTGCTGTCAAAGGTAGCAAAATCCAAGAAAAAGTGTAACTGAACTGTGACTGTCATATGTGTCGGACCAGGAAAAGGTCTACTTTTAATTTCTTTGGTGTTTTTTTGTTCATTTGTGAACTCTTATTTTTGCAGTAAAATTATGTTCTGCTTAACTCTTTGAGAAAACTCACCCTGAGTTCAACAAAGCAGAGATTTTGTCCCCCAGGAAGGTTATCGTATGTGATAAATTGAATTTGAGCTTTGGTAAAATAGAAAGCAATACTTTATGTTATTATTAAAGTTGCTTTCCTTTTAGTAGCATATTTTGAACACATGTTTCCGTCCTCTCTATATTTACCATCATAATTCCTAAAATACTATTTTTGAGAAAGAGAACAAAAATAAAGCATGTTAAGTGCAAAATGAAGGGGAAGCAGTTGGATTTGCAAGAGGCAATTTCTTCTTATTCTATGGAATTATGATTTCACAAAAGAAATTATGAGATAGTGTTTGTTGCAAGTAGTAATCAAGATATGTATCACTTAGGAATTACTTGCAAATTCAGTTAGTTTAATATAGCTGTTAACTAATGCAGTGACTGCAGAAACTAGTTTGTATATCATATTTGGTGCCTTTTGGTTGTCTGTAAGATGAGCACCAAGTTCTTTCAATAAGGTATTCTGCCAAGTGAACAGCCAAAGGAGTGACCCTAACATCTTGCTCAAGTGGTTTATGTGTATTCTGTTAAGTGGAACCTCAGTCATAGAATCTGTTGAGTTGGAAGGGACCCTTTTAAATATCATCTCGTCCAACTCTCTTGCAGTAAACAGCAACACCCACAGCTTGATCAAGTGCCCAGAGCCTGGTCCAGCCTGAACTCGAATGTCTCCAAGGACAGGACATCCACCACTGCTCTGTGCAATGTGTTCCAGTGCTATGCCACCCTTCTTGTAAGAAACTTTTCCTTATATCCAGTCCAAATCTCCCCTCTTCTAGTTTGAAGCTGTTTCCCTTGTCCTGTCAAGAAAGACATTGCTAAAGAGTCTGTCCCCTTCCTTCTTATAGACTCCCTTTACATAATAGAAAACTGCTATCAGCTCTCCTCAGAGCCTTCTCTTCTGCAGGCTAAACAGCCATTGCTCTCAGCCTTCCTCTTAGAGGAGGCATTCTGTCCCTTGGATCGTTTCTGTGGCCCACCTCTGGATGCTCTCTAACAGGTCCATGTCTCTCCTGTACTGAGGTCTCCACATCTGAATGTAGTACTTCGGGTGAGATCTCGCCAGTGCAGAGCAGAGGGGCAAGGTCACCTACCTCGACTTGCTGGCCATGCTTCTTTTGATGCAGCCCAGGATACAGTTGGCTTTCTGGGCTGTGAAGGCACACTGCTGGCTCATGTCCAGCTTGTCATTTACCAGTAATGCCCAAACCCTTTTCAGCAGGCATGTTCAAACTAGATATCTTTAAGATTTTTTTCAACCCAGGCCGTTTTGTGATTCATTCCATATTCCAAGAATGTCAGATGAGTTTTTGATATTGTGAGGTATATAAATTTTACTACTTTATATGATGACCGACTACTCTTGGGATAGCTGGTGACAGCAACCATGGGAACCTCCTTGAGACTCAAGATTGATAAGCAAATGGTGTAATCAACAAGGATGAGAGGGATGCTAACTTTTTCTTCTGAACTTTAATTCTTCATTAAATCTTGCCATAGTGTCTTAGTGTTGCTCTTAGAGTTTCTGAACTTTTTAAGATATTACAGGTCTAGAAGCAGAGAATGGAGGTTGGCCCAGCACTGGCACGTAGGACAGGAACTTGCTCCTGAAGTGATGTTCAGTACAAGATAGCTCTTTTGTTCTGATGCAAGCTCTTAGAGTGAGCATAGTTACTTTATTGCCAAAGAGAAACTTAAACAGGTATGTGTTTGCTGTCCTGAAGTCCCATGCTATGAGATATCCACCTGAAAAAGTGATGCAACTTGGAAATGTTCCCTTGATCTAATGCAGGGCTGAACTTGATAGATCCATCTGGTAGTTACAGTCTAGCTTAATAGTTTGAATCCAAGAAATTCTTTAAATGCACAGAGAAATTCAGATCTGGCATCCTGGTTCAAATCAAACTGTAGTGAGGCCATGTGATGTAATTTAACACTGCTTTATGGTGAAGAAATGTACTAGTTCAGATATTTGACAAAGCTGGTTATTGTTTATGAAAGTTTGACAGGCTATGTAATGTGACATGTCTTGTTATAGCTTGGTTGTTAACGTGACTGACCAGCTACATTTTTACTATTGGAGTGAGATATGGAATACTTTGAAACCCAGCTTTGCCAATATCTCTTAGACCTTTTGGATAAAGATTTTTCATATGGTTTAAATTCACACGCTGCTTTGCACTGGACTCGAGTTTGTGTTGGTCAGTCCTAGAGTCCTTAATTCTTCTAGTCTATCCTTACAATGTGTCACAGAGATAAAATTGCTATGTCGGGACACCACAAAAATGCTTCAGTGTCTTTGGCATTTGTGCTTTGCTTGTCAGAAACGTTTATTTAATTTACATTCTTTTCCTTTTGAATATCCATTCTTTAGACTGTAGAAACAGTAGCTCTTCAACCTTTTAACTCTGGTTTTGATAAAGTTAAAACCATTGCCTCTGAAGGATCTAAGGCTCTTTTTGTTTGAAATAATTTTCCCTTTTTTGTGAACAAATCTAATTCTTATACATGGAAAGAAAGGCTTTTTTGTTAAAGATTTTATAGCAAACATCCACTACTTGTTAGCAACTCCCTGGTTTGGTTTGTTGGTTGGTTTTTCCCTATTTATGGGATTCTGCTGACATGTACAGCAAAAAGGACCTTCTACTGGATATGAGCCTTAATAGGTAACAGCCAACTTATTCCTGTGCTGTGTTAAAGCAATGAGCTTTTCTGTGCGCTTTGTAGATGACAATAAAGTTCCATGATATGCTGTCCTTAGCTTCTGTGGGACCTTCTCTTTTCCTTCTTCTTTGCCTCCTAGAAAAAAAATCTATTTGCATGCTGCAAATTTTAAGAAAAAAAGAAAAAAGTTGTTTTATTTGCACTAGAAGAAATAAACCAGTTGTTTTAGGCATTTCCTTCATTTTCCCAAAGATATCAATTCAAAGGCATCAAGATACAGCTTCATGGGTTAAAAAAAAAAAAAAAAAAAAGTCCATTCAGGCAAGACCCAAGTAATACATGTCAGTGTTAGACTTCTGACATTTTTAGACAGAGTC